CTAAGTGACAAAGAGAGACCTAAAACACTGTTTAATGTAATAGCCACTAGTCACATATGACTACTTAGATTAAAATAATATGGGGAATTTAGCTCTATACTCAAACTAGCCATATGTCAAGTGTTCGATACACATGTGGCTAGTGTAAATAAATAAGACTACTTCTACTGAAAGTGCTACTGGACAGGGCTGCTGTAAAGGATAGCTCTTGGATTCACAGTATTTATAGCCTGGACTGATGGTGGCAAAGTTAAATCAAAGTCTTCTCATTACAAGAAACTCTGAGGCTTCATGAGGTTGGTTTATCTTCTTAAGGGTAACAAAAACTAAAAATTAGTTCTAAAAGTTTAAGCAAAATGAATGTGAGCCAAATGAATCAGAAAAGAGATTCTTGAAACTCAGTTTGCACATCTGGTGAAGAATAATAGAATAATTCCCTAACACAAATAACCAAAAATGATTACTAAGAAGAATATGATTACTAAGAAAAGGAAGCACAGTAATCAATTCTGATACTCCCAGCCATAAAACAACCTTTTGTCAGGGTTTAGAAGAAATTTCTTCCTAGTGCAGGGCTGTTACATGAGGGCCCACAAAAATGACAGGTTAGATTAGCTGTGAGCGCCACAACAGGGCCACACTGTCACTTTGCTAAAGCCAGCAGCTGAGGTGTGACAAAGGGCTCAAACTGTAGATCTGAAGGGTTAAGGAGTCAAGCTATGCTGAAGCTTATTAAAAATACAGAGCTGCAGAATTCACGCTTTCCAGTTTCAACATGAGTGAGCTATTCTGGGCCTACTGCAGATCCACGACCCAGTCAAAACTAGCAGGCCAAGTTGTTCATTTTTTCACTCAGCAACATGTTCGCACACCTTTCAGGTGGAAGGTGGTTTTGAATCTAGTGGACTGACACTGGCTGGCTGACCTCTCACTCTTACTCTGGATTCTCTCAGCCACTGCCATGTATTATTGTCTGGGTACAAAGAAACACCATTTAATACGAAAAAACAAACTTGCTGAACAGACAGAGCAAGGCATCACATTTCAATGCTTGCCTACTGAGATTTTTCTACCACGTGTCCATGGGAAAAGAACCGAGGGCCAAGTACAGCATTAGCGTATGCTACTCTATGCTTCCCAAGGAGCCACAACAGAAGAACAAAAGGCTGAGAAGGAAGAGACAAATGAAGCTGTTCTCTCATATCCAGAAAGATTACAGGAGACTTTTCCCTCATTTGTCTGCAGAAGAGAACTTCCACATTTCCCTTTAAAAGGCTAGTCCTCTGCAGCAGCTCTCATTGCCAGAACATTTTTCCTAATTTTCACCTTAACCTTATGACTTTATACACCTTTAAATGCCAAAAAGACAGGCTGTGGGGGAAGTTTTCTTGAGAACAGTGTGTACCACGCATGCTCCATCCCTTCTGTGAGTCTTCTTCCTGGACAGAGCAGCATTCTTGGTCTTAAAATTTGCACTTAAATACCAGCTTCCTATCTGTGTCATCTCTTCTCTCCCTCAAGACATGCAGAGCTTCAGACAGTATTAAAGAAAGCTCAGGACCTGGAATATGTAAGCCTCTGTTATCCAGCACTCTGCAGGGGTTAAGAAGTGTTAAATTTGAGACACATGTTTACAAGATGAGAATGGAGGATCCCTGAAAATGACCCTGTTTGAAGACACATAGGAAACCAACCCCTAAATGCCATGTTTTGATGCCATGACCAGAGCATATCAAAGGGCCCAGGGGTATTTAGGGACTAGGAGATTTCTCTAATTCCTGAACTTTGTGGACAGACCATACCAAGACTTTGAACAATGTGCAGAAGCATGATCACCCCTTGAAGACAAGGCACCGCTCAAGACATGGCATCCCGCAGACAGGACGTCAGAGCTGAGAGCCAGCCCGATGCAGGAGCTGGGTATGAGCTCTCTGATAAATGAGGTGGGTGAGTTTTTCTCCCCAGAGCCAGAAAAAAAATTGGGAGAGAAGACTCTGATAAAACATATAAATGACATGGCAGAACACAGACTTGATGATACTGATTGTGGACCCTCGCTATATCCTGTTGCACCATGAACTTTAAATATAAAGGCACTTTTCAGAAACTCCTCAGGCCAACAAGACAGGAATGGAAGTGAGCACTTCAAATCAGATGTTACTCTTCCAGTCTCTGATAATCAACAGCAACATACTGATCTTTTACAATCTACCTCCAGCTCTGCTCTTATTTTCCTTGAAAGTTGAGAAGGGATGTTGGTGGGGGATGGCAGGTGGGGAGTGTGAGGGAGACGAGGGTGTAAGATCACCACATCAGTTAGGGCAGTGGGCGCAGGGCCATGGTGAGGAAATAGGGCTGTCAAAGAGGGGAGAGTTGGCAAAATGAAAAAGAGCCTCATCTTTGGGGATTCAGGACTCTATTTGTGAGGCATTAAGTATGTGGATAAGCAGGGAATGTCACACCTGAAATACTTCCAGGCCTCAATATTTTCACTCATAATCCAGGAATTCACTACCTACTTTCATCACTAGGAAAGCTAAAAACCAAACTGTATCCATGGCTCTTAGTGTGAGGGGAGACATTCTCATAGTGGCAGCTCATTTCTATTCCTGTATGAAGCGCAATAATACTTGCTTCATTGATTCAAAGACCAACTGAAGCATAAAATTAGAGACTCAGAACACTATAGAACCTGGGCTCCTGACAGAATAGGAATGTTGTTTCAAATTCTATACCCAGAATTCCAAGTTTGCAACAGAGTGGTATCTGTTCCTGTCTGTCTCTCATTCTCATTCTCTCTTGCACACTCGCGCGTGCACAAACACACAATTTTATGACTAGCTATCTTCCTTCATTCATTCAGAGCCAGGCACTGGGGACATAAATATAATAAGATAGTTTTTCAAGGCAGTCACAAGTTAGTTAGCGGGACAAACACACGAGCAGATAGCTGCAGTAACTGAAGCATCATTTGTCTTGACAACATGGGGCATTATACAAGCAATGCTTGTATAAAGCGATATTCAGCACATCTACTGAACTGTGATTTCAACAGTATCAAGTCAAAGAACGATGCAAGAACATGTGCCCTTGTGTGGCTTTTATGTTCGGAACATGGTACGGGTCCTGAAAAGCAGTGCATTCTCAGAACTAGTACTATCACTGCGGCCAGCACCCCACCCATGAGCACTGAGTTGCCCTTTATTTTGTGTGCGGGTAAATTCTAGTTGCCCAAATAAACCATTAAACGTCTTGAGGGCAGGTACCAAGCCTTATATATTTTTAATCTCTACAGCATCTGGGACACAGAGTAGATGTTAAGCACACCATGTCGGTGGTGACAGGGACAAGCAGAGGAGATGCTGGCTAAACTGTTCCTCTACAAAGGCCTGCAGACTGGCAGACAGGGAGCACTGTAAAGTACAACACCGTCCTACATGATGAAACCACCGACCCACTGTTGAAGACATCTGCTCTATATGACACTTCAAGGATTGGGGTAGGGAGTCCTTCACCGAAGGCCAGAGAGGAGGGCAGCATAATGTGGATGAGCGGTTTGGTAGTAAATTGCAGTAAACAAAAACATGCATAAATCCTCTAGAAAGGATAGAAATAGATGACAGATTCTTTATAGTTGTTATATAGTTCTAGCTCTTAGAAATGTAGTCATTATAAATCAACTCCCATCCTTACTTGCTTAAAAGCCTTCAATGGTTTCCCAATGTACTTAAAAACAAAATCCATCTCCTTCATTCTGGCCCCATAGTCCCCTTGTCAATCGCAACTTGCCCCTGCTCTCCCCTCACTCACCAGACCCAAGACACACTGGCTTCCTTGGTGTTTCAAGCACACACTAGGCCTTAGACCTGCTCTCCCCACTCCCTGGGCCCTCTTCCTGCTTCTGAATGGCTGACTCCATCTTATCCCCCAGATCTCAGTTCAAATACTTCCTCCTGAGGGAAACCTTTTTGTCCATTTTATCCAGAGTAACACCCCATCTCATTGCTATTCTTGTTGACACACCAACCAGTTAATTTATTTCATAAAACTCACATGCTCTGAATTTATGCTCTGAACTTATCTTGTTTATCTGTTCCCTTGTTTATTTAATGGTCTTCTCCTGCTAAATATAAACCTCCTGAGAGTAGGAGTTGGATTTATCTCGTATCAATGGGCATCTATCAGGTATGCAAATATTCTGAATGAAGAATTAGGAGAATGCAGTGGCAGTACATTAGCAGGCCCTGAGTTAAAGTGAAAAGCATCAGTTCTCCACTATGGAAGCAGAAGCTGCTGCCTGCCTTTGTTTTAAAACCCATTAGGGCACCCAAGCAGCAGCCCAAGTGCTCTGCCGATGACTAACAAGAATGTCAAAAAGAGCAAAATTGTGCTGGCTCCATTTTCCACTTTTAAAGCGCTGCTGGTATTAAAAGCAAGTTTTCTTGGTTTCATTTCTCCCCAAGTGATGCAGTTCTGTGCACATCGAGCCCAGCGCTGTGATAATACTTACCAACGACCCCATGCACTCACACCCATGCCAGCCCCGGGGGAACCAAGGGCCTCCATGTAAGTAATACTGTGCTTGATTCAAAATGCCAGGTGGAAAAGTGCATGTAGTCCCCGGGAACGTGAACACTACGGCTAAACAAATCCAAGAAGTGCTTTCTTTCTCACAATACCCCAGCTCAAGATCTGCTCCTCTTATAAGAGGAAGTGTAACTGGGCGTAGAAACCCTTTTAAAGGTGCAAGTCAAAAGCTAAAGATGATTCAGAAGCACCATTAAACCTAATGCTGGTCTTTCACTGAACCTGATCAGCCAGGGCAGTTGTCTTAAGTATGTGATTGAGAGTCCCTGAAATAGGAAAAGTGAGAGAAAAAAAAAAGTGATAAACGAAACCAGTCCCCGTTTTCTGTCAGATGCATCCCATGGTGCACTGGGTGCACACCACCATGTCCGACGTGCACCTCTACCAGAGCAAGAGCACAGCGCAGTACTCACGCGGCATGATCCCTTGGCTGACCAGTTCCTCCCGTGTCCGGCGCTGCTGGAGCTTCAACTGCAGCACTGCAAGGCAGCAAAGAGAGAGGGGAGATGAAGGATCAACTGGGCATTCCTCCACAAAAAACACATTTTCAAATGCAAAGTCAGTCTCCAAAACAGGAGAGTGTAGTGTGGAAGAAGGATCCCCTGCGCTTATGACTGTAATTGCAGAAGTGGCCTGATACAGCAGGGTTTCCGTATTCTGCTGTGGGCGGCAGGAGGAAGTTGCAAAGGGTCTTGCAGAGAGATAACAATCCACAAAGTACCAAAGTCTTGCCTAATAGCTCAAAACTTCCTACAACATGGTCCTCCTCCTAACACTGAAAACACAAATTCTTAACTCAAAGAAAATACAGACAGGCTCACCAGCCAGAAGAAATTTTCTAGGAGTCCTAAACTTTTTCTTGCTTTTTGTAGCAGAAGCTCACCACCGTAAGCATAGTGATACAGCTATTCTTGTGATCAAGAAGGACTGATCATTGTAAAATCTTTTTTGTCATATCTAAAAAGTATTCCTATCTTCAGCAAGCAATGCATTTCTCTAGGCCAGACAATAGTTTATCATTAATACAACTCTCTTTTTCCTCTTCCTCCTCACGTAGAGGTGAATCAACCACCAGATTCAAAGCACACCTGGGCTAGGGGAGCCTCACAGGGGTGCTCCTCCCTCCACCTTGGCAACACCATTTGACAAAACAACTTAATAGGGATTTTTTTAAGTTAAAAGTCAATTATCTCGGGCCTCCCCGGTGGCGCAGCGGTTGAGCGCTGGGTTGCGAAGCTGCCCGCGGCCTCTGTGGCGCCGGTTCGATCCCCGGCTGCTCCCCGGCCACCGGAGGAGGGTCCCACATGGCGCGCAGACCTCTCCTGCCGCCCGCTGCTCCCCTCAGCAGTGTACTTCGGTCCTTCTGCCTGCTCTGCTCCCCGCTCTGGCTCTGGTGAATTCTCTCACCCTCCCCGCACTTCTGACTGTACCCAGTGCATGTATAAACAAAACAAACAAACAAATAAATAAATAAATAAAATGCCTCTATAAAAAAAAAAAAAAAAGTCAATTATCTCCATTTCAAATGCCAATGAAACCTAAAGGGTGTTTCCACTACTCAACATGCAGAAAGAAGATGGCTCGGCTTTCACTGAGATGCTAAGTAAGAAAATACTCAGTGAAGGAGGGTGCAGAGGATCGCATAAAGTCCCCCTATATGATAAGCCTTCCATGAAAAGGCTCCTGCAAGTCACCTATGAGGAGGACCTGCACCGATGAGGAATCCTCTATTACCAAAATAACTGCCTTTTCCATCCATAGAGCAATTTTCAAAAAAGTCTCCAAAAATAGCAGTGGTAGACTCATGCTCAGGCCTCAAATTCAGCAGGTCTAAAGTTGAACTAGTCTTTCTGCCAAAAACCTAATCCATTTCCCAACCTTTAAATCTCTTTAATTGGTCTCATTATCCTCCCCAGTACTAATAATAAATTTCTGGGCCAATTTCAACTCTACCACCTCCTCAAGCTCCTACCTCCTCAAACCCACCACACCAGGATTTTGCAGGTTGTGGCGACAACTCAGGCTTGTGCCCTTGCTCTCATGGTCGCTCCCATTCTAAGCCACACCAGGCATGGCTGTCCAATCACTCTTCCTCAAGTACCACATACTTTTCCCAGATCTTCAGTTGCTTCGCCTGGAAAGCTTCACCTCTTCACCTGACCTTCCTGACTCCACAGCATTCAGAATTACTACAGGTCTTCTGTGAGCTACCACTTGTTATAAAAAGTATAGAGTTTGCCCTGCTTAATAGTTATGAGTATCTCTTATCTCTCCTACTAGTTTGTAACTCCTGGAGGACAGGATATATAACTTATTAATACATGTTCCCCATAACAGTTAACACACAGTATTTAATAATTATTCATTGAATTGAACTGGATTTCAAAACGATGATACATACAGTGTGTGAAATCTAATCAGAAGGTTACTACGTTACTATTATCATTTTTAAAAAAGATTTATTTATTTATGCATACAAGGACTGGGGTACAGGCAAGAGGTGCAGGAGGGTGAGAGAATTCACCAGAGACAGAATGGGGAACAGAACAGGCAGACTGACTGAAATACACTGCTGAGGGGAGCAGTGGACAAGACAGGAGAGGTCTGCTGTACCATGTGGGTCAGCTCTCTGGCCAGGGATCGAACTCTTGCTGCAGTGACTGCCGATAGCTTCATAGTACTGCATCTTAACCCCTTGCGCCACCAGGGAGGCCCCTACTATAATCATTATTACTAACAACACTTAAAAACAAATCCTTGCAGAATAAAACAAAAACAGTAACTGCACACTAATAGTTAGCATTTATAGAACATGACGTGTAGTTTCATGTTTTAACTCATTTAATCTTCATAAGTCCCCTATGAAGAAAAAGGTATTATTAATACTATTTTACTGATAAGGAAAATGAGGCCCAGAAAGATTACACAATTTACTTAAGATTATCCCAGGAAAAAGACTAATTATAATAAAGTAAAAATCAAAATCAACAAGCAACTATAAACCAGAGACACACTGTGGGGGGGCGTGGGGGGGGAGTAGGATCAAAACAAGTGGGGGTGGGAATTGTATGGGGACTATAACCAAGATGAAAATGCATACACTGGGCCTCCCCTGGTGGTGCAGGTGGTTGAGCACAGCCTCTGCAGCACGGGTTTGATCGCAGCTGGCCAGTGAGGGTCCCACACGGCAAAGCAGACCTCTTCTGTCTGCTCCCCTCAGCAGTGTATTTCATCAGTCTGCCTATTCTGTTCCCTGCTTTGTCTCTGGTGAATCCTCTCATCCTCCCGTGATTCTGGCCTGTACCCCAGTTCTTGTATAAATAAATAATCTTTTTTAAAAAAAGAAAAAAAATGCATACATTGTGCAAAAATGAAAAATGATGTAAAAAATATATAAAATTTTAAAAATACTAAATTAAAAAATAATTTAATAATTCATCTTCAGAAAATACCTTAAGAGCCACATATTCTGTGCTCACTGCAGGAAGTACCAAATTAGGAGTATATTTAATATTAAATTAATATATTTAATGCACATCCCTCACTAAGAAATATCTACTAGTTCAAATGATTATTCTCATAGTGCTCAAACAAGGAGATTCAAGAGAGTAGGAATTCGACCAAACTCATTTTCAAATTGCTGTGATTTCCTCTCCATTGCAAGTCAGTAAAAACTAAACAAAAGTACCTATTTGTGTACTGACATGAGTCTTTATTTCTTCACTGTTACTGAATTCCATAAATTTAATATATCATCTGTTTTCAAACGTGTCTATGCAAGCAGCCTATATATAGATGAACAGATGCCTTCAAAGTTGACGAATGGTGAATCAACTGAGTTAGCTGCTTGCCAGAAAATGACTGCAATAAAAGGAAAATAAATCAAACTGTGAAGTGGGGGATCCTTAGTGTCCCACTCTTCATGGAAATAGCTGTTTTCTTTCAGTATCAAACAGCAGCAATCACCTATTATTTGAATAATTGGTTACTTGGGAAATTAAAGGAGTGAACAATCCTATTAGGACCACGGAAATGTAATGATGACATTCCAAGAATTGGACATATCAAACAACTGGGTCAATGAGGACTGAAAAGAAAAAGTAGGGCCTCCCCGGTGGCGCAGCGGTTGAGCGCTGGGTTGTGAGGCTGGCGGCAGCCTCTGCCGCGCCGGTTCGATCCCTGGCTGCTCCCCGGCCACCGGAAGAGGGTCCCACGTGGCGCGCAGACCTCTCCTGCCACCCGCTGCTCCCCTCAGCAGTGTACTTCGGTCCTTCTGCCTGTTCTGCTCCCCACTCTGGCTCTGGTGAGTTCTCTCACCCTCCCGTGCTTCTGACTGTACCCAGTGCTTGTATAAATAAATAAATAAAATCTTTTAAAAAAAAGAAAAAGTAAAAGTAAGTGGTGCTCTGTTGGGTAAATAGTTTTCAGGCTTTTCTGCCCTCCCACCTTTAGGATTGTCCTGCCTGATGGGTCACCTGCAGTTGTTACACTGTTGTGCTGTTTACTTCTGTGGGCCAGCGGAGGAGTATTGAGATAATCACCAAGAGAAGCAGAAGTAGGAGAGAGGCAGGAGAGAGGAGGAGAGAAAGAAGGGCAGAGAAGCCCAGAATGAAGACTTGCCTGGGGCCTGGAGGCCTGCCGGCCTTGTGGCCCCTGGGCACCCCTGCTTGCCGTGTACCTGGTTGTTGCAATGCATGTTAAGCTCAGTAAAAGCCTGAGAAAACCACCAAGGCTCCAGGACTCCTCCTTTACCCTGGTCTGCTCAAATCCTAGAGTACCTGCCCTGTACCCCTTCCTTGCACTACATGCTCTTTATTTATTTGTTTATTTATTATTTTAATATTCCCCATACAATTACAGCTCCCTTATTTTGACCCCAAGCCCTCCTTTCCCCGCCCCCCAACCCCCATATAGTGTCTCTGGTTCATAGTTGTTTGTTGATTTTGATATTTTCTTTCTCATAGTTATTCTTTTTCCTGGTCCCTTATTTAAGTTTTCTAGATCCCTGCTATGAGTGAGACCATCCGGTATTTTTCTTTTTCTTTCTGGCTTATTTCGCTGAGCATGATCCCTTCCAGCGCCATCCATGTTGCTGCAAATTGCATGTGTTTATCTTTTTTGAATGCTGAGTAATATTCCATGGTGTATATGTACCACATCTTCTTGATCCAGTCATCTATTTTTGGGCATTTGGGTTGTTTCCAAAGCTTAGCTATTGTAAACAGTGCTGCTATAAACATAGGGGTGCAGGTGCTCTTTGGAATGGATGTTTCTGTGTCCTTTGGGTAAATACCTAGGAGTGGAATTGCTGGATCCTATGGAAGCTCTATGTTTAGTAGGTCAAGAAATCTCCACACAGCTCTCCATAGTGGTTGGACCAGTTTGCACTCCCACCAGCAGTGCAGGAGAGTTCCTTTTTCTCCACAACCTCGCCAACATTTGTTGTTGCTAGTTTTTTTAATATGTGCCATTCTCACTG